AGGCTTCAGAGGGAGAAGGACCCTGCCAACACCTTGGCTTCTGACTTTGAGCCTTCAGCACTGTAAGGGAATAAATTTCTGTTGCATTAGGCCCCCCAGTTGGGGCACTGTTTATGGCAGCCCAGGAAGCTAAGATGCTGCTCTGAGCCTGAGACACAGTTGTGAAGAAAGCTAAGATCCTGTCCTCAGAGCTCTCAGTCCAGGAGGGAGGCAGACCTGTACCAAAGCCCAGGAGGTTCTGGGGGTAAAGCGCTGAGACCCCTAACCCCTCTTCCTAACGTGGTCGGGAAAGTCCTATCGGAGGAGGTGCCCACCCAAGGCCTGGAAAGCTGAGCTCTCCTTTGGAGGGACACTTTCCCAGGTGGTGGCCAAGCTGAGGCTCCTTTGTTGTCACCTCACCACCACCACCACCACCCCCAACACACACACACAATTGCAGTTAAAGCGTCACAAACCCTCAACTCTTTCTGGGTCACCACACATGCCACGCTGCTCTGTGCCTCACCTGATCACAGTGATTGGGCTACACGTCTGTCTCTCTCTAGGCTACAAGGACCAGGTCTTCCTGATTTTTCAATCATTCATGTTGCTTAGCAAAGTGCCTGGCATCAAATAAGCGCCCAAAGACTGTTGAAAAAAATGAGGTTAAAAACCAAACTAAATCGGGCGTGAGGGGTCCGGGAATGATGGAAATGTTCTATAATTGGTTCACGGTGGTGGACGCACAACTCTGTAAGTTTACTAAAAATCGCTGAATTGTACACATAAAAACAGATGAATTTTACAGTATGTAAATTAATACCTCAGTAACGCTGTTTTTTAAAAATCTACTTGAATGGCTAACGTGGAAAAGACAGAAACTACCCAGTGCAACTGGGCCTGTTGGGAGCGTAAATCGGCTAAACTGCGTTGGAAAGGGCCTGGCGGTCGGTATCCGCTGATGCTAAAAAGTCTGTACAACCTGTGTCCCAACAAGCCCATTCATACGTATACACCCAACAAAAATGTGTATGTAGGTGTCTATCAAAACATATGTGAAAGGTTCCCAGCAGCATTATTTATCCATAAAGGCCCAAACCAGAAATCACCCAGATGCCCATCAGTAGTAAAACAGACAAATGAACGCAGGAACCACAGAAAACTGGGAAGTTAGCTCTGCTCACGCAAAAATACGACTACACACGACGACGTGGAGGAAGCTCACAAGAAGCCCAAACTGTAAAGTGGCACAAGTGTAAATGACAAACTGTGAGTCAGGACGGGGAGTGGCTGGGAACAAGGGGGGCTCCTGAGGTCACAGTCTGCTTCCCGAGCTGGACGCTGGCCTCGCAGGCTTGTCCAGTTTGTGAGGATTTATCGACTGCATGATATGCTTTTCCGTGTATAGTTTATAATTCACTATAAAGTGTCAACAACAAATTGGCCCTTGCCATCTACCTCTGCAAGGATTAAATCATGTGCTCTGCAGCTGCTGACTTTCAACACCCCCCCCCCCCCCCGAAAGGAATTCAGGGTGGAGAGCAGAAATGAGGCCTCTGTGCTCTGGGAAAAACTGGCAGAACAGGTCTTCAGAGAGTTAAATATTTTCAGGAGCTGATTTTATGAGCCCAGTTCTTGTATCTCCTCGGATCTAGAAAAGCACTAAAATCCTTCATGGTGACGACTGCTCCTCGTGACTAGCAGAAACCTGCTGCAGAATAATATGTGCTCGATTGCATGGACTCCCCTCCCCCCTTCGCCCAAATCACATGTATCCTGACCTTCCCCGCTGCCTCTTTGGAGCAGTTTCTCAGAGCTAACTGAAATGCTGTCTCCCGGGTTGCAGTCCTCATTTTGCCCCCCAAAAAACAACTTGCAACCCTCATGTTGTGATTTTCTTTTTTTTTTTTTTTTTTTTGCGGTATGCGGGCCTCTCACTGCTGTGGCCTCTCCCGTTGCGGAGCACAGGCTCCGGACGCGCAGGCTCAGTGGCCATGGCTCACGGGCCCAGCCGCTCCGCGGCATGTGGGATCTTCCCGGACTGGGGCACGAACCCATGTCCCCTGCATCGGCAGGCGGGCTCTCAACCACTGCGCCACAAGGGAAGCCCTGTGAATTTTTTTAGTTGACAGTTTTTATGGCAACCACGAAGGGATCCAGAATGGACTTCTCTCCTTCACCGAAACTCTATGAGGAACCAGAGCCTTGGTACCAGCAGAGGCCCCTTGTGCCCATCTGCCACCTTGGAGAGTCCAGATGAATCTGGGTGAGTCTCTCCTGGTTCTCAGATCTCCTGTATTGGTTGATGATCCTGAGTTTTATTTGGGGGTGTATAGCAGGTACCTGACCCCTCCCAGTTGAAAGATACTTGGGGGGGGTGGGCCTGGATGAAAGATACCGGGGAATACCCACCCATGTGAAAGATACTGGGGTGCGGGGGGCTTGGTTGAAAGATACCAGGGTTTGCTCAGTTGTAGAAGACAGAGTGGCCTGCGTTGAGTGGTTAGATAAGAGGCTGATCTGACGCTTTTCCTCAATTTGGCCGCCTTAATAGAATTGTTGGGATAAAAGTGAAGATATGGGCTTTCCTGGTGGCGCAGTGGTTGAGAGTCCGCCTGCTGATGCAGGGGACACGAGTTCGTGCCCCGGTTCGGGAAGATCCCACATGCCGTGGAGCGGCTGGGCCCGTGAGCCATGGCCACTGAGCCTGCGCGTCCGGAGCCTGTGCTCTGCAACGGGAGAGGCCACAACAGTGAGAGGCCCGCGTACCACAAAAAAAAAAAAAAAAAAAAAAGTGAAGATATTACACTAGAGCTTTGCTCCGAAGAAAAGGGACAAGACTCCTCCCGGCTGGTCACGGCTTGGAGGCAGAGTCCTCATACCGTGCAGTGGTCCCATAGGGAAGCCCACTCATTAATTAAAACGTTTGCTCATCCAGGGGTCGCAGATAAGAATCGGCCATTCAGCGAGCACCTGTGGTGGTCTTGGACCACCAAAAGGAGAAACTGAGACATGTAGGAGGGCTGAAACGACTCGGGGGGGGATGCCTAGTGGAGTTAAGCTCACAAGCAGCACACTGGCAGCCACACAGTTTCACTAGTAAATTTTATCCCTAACAAATTCTACTTTAAAATGGGGAATAGGGGACTTCCCTGCTGGCGCAGTGGTTAAGACTCCACGCTCCCAATGCATGGGGGCTCGGGTTTCATCCCTGGTCAGGGAACTTGATCCCACATGCATGCCACAACTAAGAGTTCGCATGCCAGAACTAAGGAGTCGGCGAGCAGCAACTAAGGAGCCTGCCTGCCGCAACTAAGACCCAGTGCAACCAAATAAATAAATAATTTTTTTAAATATGGGAAATAGAGCCTCTCAAACACAGAAACAAGGGGCATCAGAAAGCCAGTCTCTGGCTAACACCTCAGCCAGGTTTATACATGCAAGTACCTACGTAATTAGGGAAATTATACTAAAGGAGATCTCAACATAAAATGGCCAAATTGGGGTTCTTCTGCTATCCCAAAATTGCTGTTTTATGCACAGAATTAGAAAAAGCCGCCGTAAGATCAAACAGATTGCATGGAATGCTTACTTTGATTGGTGTCTAGAAGCTTCTAAATAGGCTGCTGGCCCTCTGTCTCTGACTCGGTCTCTCCCTCTGCTCCTCCCACGTGGCCTCTTCTATCTGAATGGTCCAGATGCCATCTCCTTTTTCTCTCCCAACTCTTCTGCCTCCTGCCGCTGCCCTCTCCCCAGCAAAGGAGGACTAAAAAATCAGAAGTGATTATAGCTCCCTTTTAAAAATAAATTTATTTATTTTATTCATTTATTTTTGGCTGCACTGGGTCTTCGATGCTGCGCGCGGCCTTTTCTCTAGTTGCAGCGAGTGAGGGCTACTCTTCGTTGCAGTGCGCGGGCATCTCACTGCGGTGGCTTCTCTTGTTGGGGAACGTGGGCTCTAGGCACACAAGCTTCAGTAGTTGTGGCTCGCGGGCTCAGTAGTTGTGGCTCGCGGGCTCTAGAGCGCAGGCTTAGTAGCCGTGGCGCACAGGCTTAGTTGCTCTGTGGCATGTGGGATCTTCCCGGACCAGGGCTCAAACCCGTGTCCCCTGCATTGGCAGGCGGATTCTTAACCACTGCACCACCAGGGAAGCCCTATAGCTCCCTTTAAGAAGAAACTCATAACAGGGAGGGGTGAGCCGTCCTTGGTGCTTACGTACACACCCTGAACCCAAGTAGAACTTAGAGTTTTGGCTAAGGAATCTCCCAATCCAAGTCAGGATTCATTGGGATTTGCTAAGGAATTTGAATTAACCATCCGGCCTACGAGCGGGTTTCCAGATCTATATCAATTAATCCAGCTGTTAGTTTCTGAAAGCCAAGAAAGGGAATGGATAGAGAAGGCAGGATGGAAACGCCCCTTAATGGATTTTGAATCACATAGTCCAGAGGCTTGCACTGAATACAAGGAATTAGCTCAGAAATTACTTGAATTTATCCCGGAGCTTTTTCCAAAAACCGTAGACTGGACAGAGATTCAACAGTGCAAGCAAAGATCGGATGAATGAATTCTGGACTATTAGGAAAGGTTTGCGGGGAAAAAAAAAAAACTTTTAAGCAACATTCTGGCTTGACACCTGAGTCATTCTCTAACCACCAAGATGATCCTCTGCTTAACTCTGCCTTTTTAGAAGGCTTAGATGAGGATTTATCTACTCTAGTCAAAAACACAATCTAGGTTGGTCCATGTTACATACAAACACCTTTGATACACTGGCTGACCAACCTTTGAAGACCATTAAAAAAAAAAAAAGGGAAAGAAAGAAAAGGGAGTATCTACGAAAATTATGAACCTCCAGTTGCGCCAATTAAGTATACAATGCCAGTCAAAGGTTAACCAACTCCTGTTTAATTCCCAACGGGTAGAGAAAGCTAGCTTGAAGGGAAAAAAATCTCTTCAGAATTCTGACCCTGAGGGAATGAGTTCTACTAGGAAAGCCTGATTTTCTCTCCCTGTGCCTTGAGACCAGAGCTCTCGGGATCACTTACCTTATCTAGACCATCTCTAATTCCTGAGACTGAGGGATAAAAAGGACAAAAAAAAAAAAACTTTAAATTTTTTTCTTATTCCAAGTGTTGTTTATAAACTAGTGAGTTTTATATTGTAATATCTGACTCATGACTAAGTTTAGAAAATGCAGCTAGATTTCTTGTTGTGTCTGTCTGGATATATGTATGTCTTAGTATGTGTCTTTGTCTTTGGATAATATTGCTGTGGTTAATTTGTAAATAAGCTCTATTTAATTGGCTTAAAGAAAAGTAAGTGCTTACAAATCAAATAATTCTAAATGCAAGAGAAATTAAGCTAAATGAATTTCAGGTTCACGTGAACTGGGAAATAGTATTAAATTAATACCTGGTATTAATGTTTGTTTGTTGATCTAATTAATATAGATACATCTTTAGAGTCATCAACATTATGGATAATACTTTATTGTGCCTCAGTTTAATATAAGCTAAATAAAATCTTGTTATATCTGTTACAAATTTGTCAGCAAGGAAAGTAATTTGATGTGAAAAAAACTTTTAAGGAAAGAAAATATAAATGAGATAAGAGCTTTTAGATAAACTCTATTAAGAATAATTATGCTTCTAAATTATGCTTCTAATAATTATGCATCTAAAATAGTCTCTCCACCTGGTGTGATTCCATCCTGTGCACCTGTTCCCTGGAGCAGTAGTCTTTTTTCTCCGTCCGCCTTCTCTCCCACCTAAGTGCGTGCCACCAACCCATGGAAGATTCGATGGACATGGACATGAGCCCCCTGAGGCCCCAGAACTATCTTTTCTATTGTGAACTAAAGGTCGACAAAGATGATCACCTTAAGGTGGATAATGATGAAAATGGGCACCAGTTATCTTCAAGAACGGTCAGTTTAGGGGCTGGCGCAAAGGATGAACTGCACATTGTCGAAGCAGAGGCGATGAATTATGAAGGCAGTCCAGTCAAAGTAACACTGGCAACTTTGAAAATGTCTGTGCAGCCAACCGATTCCCTTGGGGGCTTTGAAATAACACCACCTGTGGTCTGATGGTTGAAGTGTGGTTCAGGGCCTGTGCATATTAGTGGACAGCACTTAGTAGCTGTGGAGGAAGATGCAGAGTCAGAAGACAAAGAGGAGGAGGGTGTGACACTCCTAAGTATATCTGGAAAGCGTTCTGCCCCTGGAAGCGGTAGCAAGCTTCCACAGAAAAAAGTAAAACTTGCTGCTGATGAAGATGAAGATGATGATGAAGATGACAATGATAATAAGGAAGCTGAAGAAAAAGCTCCAGTAAAGAAATCTGTACGAGATACTCCAGCTAAAAGTTAACAAAAATCAAACCAGAATGGAAAAGACTCAAAACCATCAACACCAAGATCAAAAGGTCAAGAATCCTTCAAAAAACAGGAAAAAAACTCCTAAAATACCGAAAGGACCTAGCTCTTAGAAGACATTAAAGCAAAAATGCAAGCAAGTATAGAAAAAGGTGGTTCCCTTCCCAAAGTGGAAGCCAAATTCATCAATTATGTGAAGAACTGTCTCCAGATGACTGACCAGGAGGCTATTCAAGATCTCTGGCAGTGGAGGAAGTCTCTTTAAGAAAATACTTTAAACAGTTTGTTAAAATTTCCCATCTTATTTCATTTCTGTAACAGTTGCTATCTGGCTGTCCTTTTTAGAGTGCAGAGTGAGAACTTTCCGTACCGTGTCTGATAGTTGTCCAGGTTCCATTGCCAAGAATGTGCTGTCCAAAATGCCTGTTTAGTTTTTAAAGATGGAACTCCACCCTTTGCTTGGTTTTAAGTATGTATGGAATGTTATGATAGGACATAGTAGTAGTGGTGGTCACACAAATGGAAATGGTGGGGAGACAAAAATATAAATGTGAAATAAACTCAGGGTTTTTTTTGTTTTTTGTTTTCTCTCCAGGCCCATCCACGCTCGGCGCCCCGCCCCAGATCCTACTCGCTGCTCAGAGGGATGTGGCCCCGGAGGCTTCAGGGCCCGGGGCCCATGGTCCCCTGGGCATACCCCTGCCCGCCCCTGCGGAGCTAAGCGCAGCTCAGCCGGGGCCCTGGCCGGCCTAAACTCAGTATTTTAATTAAAAAATAAAATAAGATCAAATAGTCTTTCCAGATTCTGGTAACTTGAAATTCTAGAACTGTGCTAAATTAAGTTAAGTGATGGAAGCTTATTGAATAGCTAGCATTCCCAAATAAAATAATATACCAAAACATTAATTACTGAATATTGGCTTCCTTTTACAGAGAAACAAAAGGTATTTAGGACTATTAATGAATATGTTTGGTGTCACGTTCTCTAAAGAAAGTAAATATTTTTGGAAAATATCACTGGTGTTTATGTTCACCAATCTACAGAATGCCGATGTAAAGGACCGTTCATAGTCGCTTACTTCTTAGTAAGAAGAATTTAAGGTTTTAAGAGCTGAGGATTCTAACTTAAACATGTATTTAAAGCTAATAGAAATAATAAATGAAACATTTCAGTCAACAGTAGGAAAGTAGGGTGTGTGTTTCCAGTAAAGAAGGGATGAAGAATGGAATTACATTTTATTAAGGGAAAAGGAAGTAGGTCTGACTTACAGGTGGCTGTTTCTGAATGGGAAAATAAAATGCTGGATACAGAAAGTAAGGAAACGTTTGTGGAAAGTGGACCCCAAGAAAAGAGTTATGTGCATGGTCAGGATTGACTAAGGTTAAAATAAATTTAATTGAGTAGGGACTTCCCTGATGGCGCAGTGGTTAAGAATCCGCCTGCCAATGCAGGGGACACGGGTTTGAGCCCGGGTCCGGGAAGATCCCACAAGCCGTGGAGCAGCTAAGCCCATGTGCCACAACTACTGAGCCCACGCACTGCAACTACTGAAGCCCACACGCCTAGAGCCCGTACTCCACAACAAGAGAAGCCACCGCAATGAGAAGCCAGCGCACCACAATGAAGAGTAGCCCCCACTCTCTGCGACTAGAGAAGGCCGGCACGCAGCAATGAAGACCCAATGCAGCCAAAAATAAAAAATAAATTAATAAATTAAGTTTTAAAAATTTGAGTAAATGAATTTTAAAAGCAAGCGGGTGCAAAACTTGAATTTTGTTTTTCTCTCTCTTAAGAGGACAAGATTTCTTAAAATGTTGAATTGCCTTTGATAACAGATTTCAAGTTTCTTTCCTTTTAAGTGATTTGTTCTGTATTTGCCTTTGAAATCTTTATTGTTACTTTGCCTAAGTGAATAACTATTGTTTCAGAGTGACCTGTTGTCCTATCTGAGTGTTCTAAACCCTTTTTGATATTTTTTTTCACAAAACTTCCTGAATCAGGGACTTCCCTGGCGGTCCAGTGGTTAAGACTTCACCTTCCAATGCAGGGGGTGTGGGCTCAATCCCTGGTGGGATAGCTAAGATCCCACATGCCTCAAAAAACAAACAAACAAACAAACCATAAAACAAAAGCAATATTGTAACAAATTCAATAAAAGCTTTAAAAAAAAAACCTCCTAAATCAAATTCCAGTGAAGTCCTTTAGCTAACTTTGGGCTGCTTCGAAGGGCACCTGAAACATCCCAAAGAGAGATATTAAACTAACTGGGTTCATTTGGTATGTTAAATTACATGGGAAGTATTGTCAAATGAGTAATAAATCTTCTTAGGTTATATTGTATGGTAAATGTTATTAATATAGATATCCTAGAAATTATATGGAGTTCCTAAAATTCTGATACGTCCTGGTAAAATGTTGTCAGTCATAATTCTAGTTATTATCTGAAAGTGTTGTATGTCACAGCAGTAACCAAGTTTCTTTGTCAGTTGCATTGTAATCAGATTTAAACATGCTTCCTTAAGTCTTTCATCATTATAGACAGTTATGGTTTTATTCTGATGCCTTTGCAAAAATGTTTCCTCTTCAAGAAGATTTATAAAAAGGACTTTTGGACAAATACAAGTTTCTGACTTTCAGACCATAATACTGAACTGGGTAAGAAATTAAAGAATCCTAATGAGAAACTGTTAACGAAAATAGTTACATAAGACTGAGTGAACTGGTGAATATGGTTATAGTTTTTATGGTTTTATCTGAAAAATTACTGGTTTAAATCTGTGTTTTCCAGGTATTAGGAAATCTTTCCCTCAAACTCATTATGACTTACAGTAATTTGGTAAATTATATCTTTGTAAGCAGGATTGGAACATATCTTTTTTCTCTAACTGCTCCCTCCAGAGACTGTAAACTCTTAGGTTCCTAGCAGCTTTATCAGATAAATTAGGAAGGCCACTCACTAACAGGTACAGAAGGCTCAAAGTATTTGGGGGACCTTAAAAAGGGAGGAATTCACCTAGATCTGTTAGGTGAAATCTGTGATAAGCCCTTGGAGTGACTTTCCTAGCTCTGAGAGGTCTTTTAAAAGTTCAGTATGAGACTCCTTATAAAAGTTTCAGCAAAGCAAAAAGCCTGTATGATCAATGATAGTTTATATAAATTATCAGGCCAAGTTAATTGAGACCAGACTTATTCTGCAAACAAACTAGTCTTAATTTGGTTATATTTGGTAAACATGAGGGTAATTTTAGAGAGAAAAGGATTATATTTCAGTGACTCTTAAGTTCCAGTTTTGTTAATGGAGGTCTGTATTTAATAAGACTCACTTCCCAGATAGTTCCTTGCTGTTACGTTATATTAATGTAAAGTTTAATTGAATTGTTAAAAGGACACTCTCAGTTTGTTTCTGAAGCCTATCTCAGTAATCTATTTTTGGATGAAGATCAGATGTCCCATGACATGCAACCAGGGGATTATGCCTACTGGAAAAGACATAGTTTAAAGGACCATCTCCAACCTAGATGGAAGGACCCTTATCTGGTACTTTTAACTAGCTCATGCACAGCGAAACTGAAGGGAATTGATTCTTGGATTAATTTCTACTCACGAAGGGCCCCTGCACCGGCCTGGTCTATAGAGAGGACTGCTGACCTCAAACTCACCTTAAAATGATGCTCAAACAGAGGAAACTCTGCACTCACAGCCGGATGATAAGAAGATGACATCAGAAGTAGACAGCTTACCCAAGATGCTGGACCTGATTCGTAGGATCATTTATAATGTTTTCTTGTCTTCCAGGACCCTTGCATATAAATCAGATGTTTTTCTATCATGGACACGATCCTATGCTAGTTTGAAAAATCAATCCAATTGTTGGGTTTGTGGCCAATTACCTGTGTCTAGTCCTTCTGGATTACCTTGGTGGATTTCTCCACTCCAAGGCTCTAATTGGATGGCCCTTAGAACATTTATTTTACAAGAAAGAAAGTTCAGTCCTGTTCAGGCTACTCTTGATATTACTAGATGGGATCACCTCACCTAGCCAATTAATAATACCTGCTTTGACCCTGGCCAAAAAAAAATGAATTTTCCTCTAAAGTTATTCAAGCTCAATCAGAGCAACAGCAAAATTTCAGCCCAGGAATAAAACCTCCTATAATTTTTTATTTTTTATTCTTTTGCGGTACGCGGGCCTCTCACTGCTGTGGCCCCTCCCACTGTGGAGCACAGGCTCCGGACGCGCAGGCTCAGCGGCCATGGCTCACGGGCCCAGCCGCTCCGCAGCATGTGGGATCCTCCCGGACCGGGGCACGAACCCGCGTCCCTTAGCATCGGCAGGCGGACTCTCAACCACTGCGCCACCAGGGAAGCCCCTAAAACCTCCTATAATTATGTGATGGATTTATGTGGTTAACACCAGGCTATGGTCATTTAAGTTTTAAGGCCCCCTTTTATCTTGGGAACAATTAAATTATACTAAGGATAACCAGCCTAGTAACACTAGGAAGTTGGGCTGGGCTGGGGGTCTTATGGGCAGTGCCAATACATCATTTCCCTGAAAGATAAGGATTGGTACAGAACAGACAAAGTCAGATGACCTAAGGATATACAGGGCTGCTCCTAATGGAAGTTCTTGGCTTAATTCTCACTTATGACTTGAATAATACTGCTAGCTATGTTATCTGTATTTTACCTGTTTTACAAGATTGTTGTTTCTTGCATTACCAAATGTGTGACTGAGCCACCGACAAAAATATATAGTTCTGTGTGAGATCAATGATTGTACTAGTGTAACTCTACATATGGGAAGATACAACAAGAGGGAATTTTTCCTGGACCATAATACATTAGTAAGACAGGTGGTCTAGAGTCTTTAGTTATTGCTTATAAGACCTAGTCCAGTAACAGCACATTGAATGACCTCTCAGCGAAGTCTTCGCCAGACCTAGGAATGAGCCTTCCTAGCACTGCGGGACGAATTGGTCATGAAATGCCTCCCAAAGCATGGTCAGATTTATGACTGCAAGGGGGCCCTGTCAACTACAATCGACACTTGCCATCTTCCTCTACAAGGATTAAATCATGTGCTCTGCAGCTGCTGACTTTCAACACCCCCCCGAAAGGAGTTCAGGGTGGAGAGCAGAAATGAGGCCTCTGTGCTCTGGGAAAATTGGCAGAACAGGTCTTCAGAGAGTTAAATATTTTCAGGAGCTGATTTTATGAGCCCAGTTCTTGTATCTCCTCGGATCTAGAAAAGCACTAAAATCCTTCATGGTGACGACTGCTCCTCGTGACTAGCAGAAACCTGCTGCAGAATAATATGTGCTCGATTGCATGGACCCCCCTCCCCCCTTCGCCCAAATCACATCTATCCTGACCTTCCCCGCTGCCTCTCTGGAGCAGTTTCTCAGAGCTCTCTGAAGTGCTGTCTCCCGGGCTGCAGTCCTCGTTTTGCCCCAAATAAAACTGAACTCACAGCTCTCACGTTGTGCATTTTTTTTTAAGTCGACAAAGTT